ATACAAAAGTAGCTACCCTAGCTGTGTTGAGTTAGCTAAGCCGCACATCTATTCGGCATTCATAGTCGTGGTTGTTATAATCATGGTCGTGGTTGTTATAATCATGGTCGTGGTTGTTATAATCATAGTCGTGGTTGTTATAATCATGGTCGTGGTTGTTATAATCATGGTCGTGGTTGTTATAATCATTGTCGTGGTTGTTATAATCATTGTCGTGGTTATGATCATAGTCGTGGTTGTTATAATCATGGTCGTGGTTGTTATAATCATGGTCTTGGTTGTTATAATCATAGTCGTGGTTGTTATAATCATAGTCGTGGCTGCTATAATCATGGTCGTGGTTGTTATAATCATGGTCGTGTGTGTTATAATTATAGTCGTGGTTGTTATAATCATTGTCGTGGTTATGATCATAGTCGTGGTTGTTATAATCATGGTCGTGGTTGCTATAATCATGGTCGTGGTTGTTATAATCATGGTCGTGGGTGTTATAATTATAGTCGTGGTTGTTATAATCATTGTCGTTGTTATAATCATAGTCGTGGTTGTTATAATCAAGGTCGTGGTTGCTATAATCATGGTCGTGGTTGTTATAATCATGGTCGTAGGTGTTAAAATCATCGTCGTGGTTGTTATAATCATGGTCGTGGTTGTTATAATCATGGTCGTGGTTGTTATAATCATGGTCTTGGTTGTTATAATCATAGTCGTGGTTGTTATAATCATGGTCGTGGTTGTTATAATCATGGTCGTGGTTGTTATAATCATGGTCGTGGTTGTAATAATCATGGTCCTGGTTGTTATACAAAGGAATAGAATAAAGGTTAGAATAATTAGTTAAAGAAATATTCGCCATAAGGAGAGGTTAATAAACCCAAATTATTATGAATCACCGATGATCATTCCGAGATGAATTATATTATGAAGAGAAGTGACCTTGATTCTGGTTATATTAGTCACCATCTGCTTAAGTCATCACCTGTGTTAAGTCATCATAGTCATCATCTACGTTAGTCAGTTTTAGGCCCATCTCACATAACTGACCGACCATCGATGTTCTTTTCGCGTGAGGGTGTTAGTTTTCAATGCGTCTTATTATTTTTGCTGATGGATGTAAGACCTCCTACCTCTCTGATGCAGCTATGGTCAATTTGGTGTTATTCTTGTTTATAAATGCCTTCTAATCTGTCTCAAGTCTATCCGTCCTGTCTATTGCCATCCCAACTGTCTGTTCGTCTGCGTGGTGTTTGAATATAAGCCCGTATGTACTCTTTGTGTCGTCAAATCTGTCTGTCTTATCCGTTGTTGGCGTGTGTCTGCCTGTTTGTCTAATGTGAACCAGTCAGTCAGCTGTCTGTCTGTCATGTTAGTTGCCATATTGTCTATTTGTGCATGTATGAATCTGTCTATTTTTGTCAACCTCCTGTCTGTTTCACTGTCTATATTCACCCTGTGTCTATTGGAGTCATCTTCTCCATGCATTCCTGTTACTATCTTTTTATCTCTTCTCCTTTTCCATGAGCCACAGGAATAAGTATGCACTGTAGCTGTAAGGTCGTCTGGTAACGTTGAAACTGTGCATCCAGACGCATGATGAAACTCGGCTCCACCCTACCTGTTATCTCTAACTATTTTCTGTTTCTCCTTCTTTAGTCTTCTATTTACTCATCTTCCTTCCTTTACTAATCCAAACCCTACATTAAAAAAAAAGTAGGCTAAGAAAAAAAGTGGGGGGAGGAGGAGGGAGCCGTACTATAACTGCAATCATGGGCTGACAGCGTACAGCGAATGAGGGTGCGCCAAGTCCGTAGACTCGCATCATTTTTCATCGTTAATAAAATGGTTATGTAATGGCTTCCTAAAGAAACCATCGACATGGGACCAGGTTTGTTCCACTGTACGATTTTTTTGCGATTTTCCACCAAGTTTGATGAAAAACGATTGTGCCGTTTCGGCTGCCCAGAACAGACACACACACACACACACGCCTAGTGCTATAGTATATTAGATACAGTATTTAAACAATGTTTCCCAGGTGTTTAATACTATTAAAGGACCACTACTACTACTACTGCCATCCTTAATATTAAATATCCTAATACAAAAGTAGCTACCCTAGCTGTGTTGAGTTAGCTAAGCCACATTCAGTGACTGTTGCCTCATAGTCTCAATATGTGCGACTGTTGGTTTTGGAGCCGAAGATCTCTCTCTGCTGAGCAGCAGCAGCAGCGTTAATAATATTAGCAAAACGAATAATACGTAGTATACCTATTATAAGAAAAATACTAATAGTACGAATATTAATAATAATAATAATAAAATAATAATAATAATAATAATAATAATAATAATGTAACCCCCCAATGAACGACTGTGGGATAATGAGACCCTTGCATGTCGGACTCCATTGTTCTATATTTGGTCAAAACCTGCAGAGAGAGAACAAATTACATATTTTACATATGAGATAATTAATTCACTCATACATTCCTTCACTATTAACGAGTACATATAATATATTTGAGTAGAGTGGGGTGTTAAACCATATAAAAACTTACGTGTTTCGGGTCTAATGTAGGACTTATTAGCTCCTTGACTTGATAGCTCACTGGACTGCTAGAGACTAGTCGAGCTAGTCAGCCCGAAGCGAGGACCATCTGTTTCACATTTAACACCTCAGCAAAGCTCGTTGTCAACACTCCTTCTGTCTCTCTCCTGTCTCCCTTTCTCTCTCTCTCTCCCCCTTCTAGTTTATCCTACTGTGGCGGTAAAAAATAACAACAACAACAATAACAACAATAATAATAATAATAATAATAATAATAATGATAATAATAATAATAATAATAATAATAATAAATGTAGGCCTTTGCATCAAAGAAACTGATACAATCGCGATACATTGTTTTGGTCTGGGAAAATTCAAGAATTGAAGATCGGAGATTAAGGAGAAAATCTGAAGGCAGCAGATTAAAGCTGGCTAATTTGCCCTTGACTTAAGACTGATTTAATCCTCCAAGGCTATAAATGTGTAGGCACGCCCAGCTTCATTTGCATCCTTCCACGATTGAATATTAGCGCCATTATAAAATTATCTTTACGTTGTCCTCTGGAATTCATTATTTAGTTTTTGTGCTGTTGTTGTTGTTTATTTAATTTATAGGCCGTCAACACCGATGGTTAATACGACCGTAGTTCCTCTTGTTCTTACTGTGTTTCTTCTTTACTACTCATTTTCTTCTTGTTTTTGTTGCTCTTGGTCTTGTTCTTCTGGTTCTTGTTTCTTCGTTTATTTTTTCTTTCCTCGTTCCTTCCCAACAGGGAGAACCTCCTTGTAGCTCAATTGTTTCTGATGTTACATCTTAGCTACCCTGTACTCTCTCTCCATTTGGGGCATTCCCGACCCGAGGAAGATTGCGGACCGCCACAGGCAGCGCATTTCTTGTCTTCCGTATTGTAGTCTTTACTCTGCTGTCCAGACGACTTCCTCTGGGGCCCTATACTTCGTTGTTGGGTGCCCGCACCTTTGACACCTGTAGCATCTTGTCGGTCTTGGTATGTAGTGCTTCACTGGGGCGGTTGTCTTGTCCTAATTTTAACCGTCTTCTATGCGTCCTTTAATATTGTTATTTTCCATATGTTGTACTTCGGCGTGGGAGATAACCCCCACACAGCGTTGTCATTGAAGTTTACTTGCACCTTAACGGGGACGTCATTGTTGATATCAACGAAGTTAAGTTGTTCAGCCTGTCCCAAGTCACCGAAGGTGACCATAATGACAACATTCGGCCAGCAGAAAACCATGGTAACCCCCTCTATACCTGAAGAAGTAAAGAAAAAAAAAACTCTTTAGGACAAGGAGGTTTGTCTTCTCATGAGGCGAGGAAACCGGAGGATAGATCCTCATAGTCTTCACCTGCTTTCATATGATTCGCAAGTCTTCTCTTGCTGAAAGCTTGTCTCGGAATGGGGTGTTTTTGATAGAAAACGATAGTTATCAATGAACTGGTATTTACAAGAGTCCGCACTCACGTCAACTTATCCAATAATAAATAATATTTTCGCCGTAGTGCACTTCATAAGATACTGCTAAACTTAATTATTTTCGAGTGATGATCCAGTCCTCTGGAAGTTAACTCCCAGAACTAACCCTTCGTAATGTCTAAAGCCTTAAGTGAGACCTCTCGAGTGCTTTAGAGAAGCTCATTATCCAGTGACAATACTGCAGTTTGTATGTACTGTATAATTATATTAGCTATAATGCATTTTATGGGAAGTGAGCACCGAAAAATAATGGCAGGAACTCATTTCTCTATAAATTATATTTGTAAGGTAACCTTTGGCAAGTCTATATAGAACGAAACAAATGGCTTCATATGCAGGAATATTATACCAAAATCTGGAGGCATTTGTTACAAAGCGTTTGTTATTTACAGCACTAACATACAGACAAATATATAATAGAGAGATTAACATACAAGTAATGATTTTTCTACTTAGTAAATAGCCTTCATGTTTCAACCACACATGACAAATAGTATTATTCACGTCAGTGAATTACACCGTAAAACGAAATAAAACGGGCTCTCGGCAAATATGAGTAATATTTTTATTGTTATAACTCCACGATAAGAAATTTATAGAAATTCGGTCAAAAATGGTAAATTTTAGTTTTATTTGGGACGTTTTTAATATCAACATACTTTACCTAAAATAGATAAACTGTAGGTTAGGTTTGATTAGTAATGATGTTAGTCATTAATTTTATGGTTTGTAATTCGATTATCTAAATGATCCACTATCTACAGACCAATTTAATTAAATTTTTTTATTAGAAATTATCGCTCCTTCATAAGTAAACCCATTTATCGTGATGCATTCAAACCTGCCAAATAGGTTTACCAAAAATTTGAACATCATGAGGCTCTTAAAAAACTCCTCCAACATTCCTCTTACAAATACACACAATTGGCAACTCATGTGCAGCGATGAGGGGTCGGGTGATGATCGCCGGTGCCTGCCAGGATTCCAGCTCGACTACTGGTGCAGGGCGGTAGTGCTCGGCCCTCCTAACCTGCAGCTGATCAGTGACGATACTGAATGTGAACAAGAATTCTCAGGCATAAGGTTAGTCCAGGTTATTATTATTTTTTGCTGCAAGTTAAACTCCAAAGGAAAATTTCGCAGTGATTTAAAACAATCACTCGGTAGAAGTTTACATTGTTTCAGCATGTATACTGTATTAAAGACAATGCAGATGTACAACGCACGAAGACAGTGCGGGTATTCAAACAATGTATCTCAATAAATCAATTAGACCAAGAATAGCCCAACAAAGCTATCACTTGCTAATTTCCAGTAAGTTCTTTGTTTACTAAGAATAGACATTACTAGTACGATTGCGTCACCTCGTGCAGTCGTTCGCCCTATGGAAGCGGAAGTTAATCATCACCTTTGAATTTAAAATATTTAATGGTCCCGGATATTACAGCTGTTATTTTTTTGTTGCTGTAAACTTACATTCTTGGAGTGGTCATACGAAAGAAATTCTATATTTTATAGTAAAGGGGTGTCCATAATATAACTATCATAATGAAGGGGTGTCCATAATAGAATTGTCAGTGATTGGGTCACTTTAATACTATTGTCCGCATCACAAAAGTAAAGGTGGTGTCACACTTGCACCTTTTCCGCCAACTTTCCCGGTTTCCGTCGTTTTTCCAGGAATTGTCAAATTTTCTAGACGAAACGTATCGTTCAGCCTGACAAGCTTGAGCCAATTTCCGTGGTCAAGTCAAGATCTATACTCGACATTGAGGATTTTTATATAAAATGAATATCGAACCACGATAAATAACTAATTTTAATTTTAAAAGTATTCAGAATCGCATTTTTAAAAACATAGCTTAAGTGTAATTTTTTATTTATTTTGTTATTCATAAATACATCTGGGGTGTTTGTAATCGAGTACTGAGCCATGTGTCTTCACCGCCTCTTCCTGACACGACATGGTATAAAGGCTAGTGACAGGGGGAAGGACGTTCAGGGGAAGGATAAAGGGAGAATTGCAGTGAATTTTAGGAGAGGAAAGGTGCAGTGGATTAAACACAGCTTGCGTGAGGGGGTAGGCAATGTGCACAGATGGGTGGGTGGAGCTGCAACATACAGCCAGGGCGAGGCCGATGGGGGGAATCGGACTGGCACGGGCCAAGCGTGGGTGGTCTGGTTGTCGTTAAGAGCTCAGGCTGTGTTGGTGAAGCGGAGGAAGAACCACCCCCGCCACGGTTGCGGCGCAAGCAGAGAAGCGCAGGTGGGCGGACGCACGGGCACCACTCAAAAAGAAAGACTAGGAAGGGGAAAACGGAATGCAGTTAGTTGTAGAGTTGTTTGGAGAAAGGTGAAGGTAAAGTCTTTGAGCTTTGTCAAAGAGGAACGGAGCGAGTTGGAGGAAGATTTTGAATCTTTGAGCTTGAAATGTCAAAGTACTCGTAGCAAGGAAGGATGAGCGTATCGTAGAAGAGTTTTTAGTGATAGCAGGAGACAGATTTGAGCTTTTTTGTCAAATTATGAACGGAGATTAGAATTAATTTTTTTTATTGGGGGGGGGTTGTGGTTGGTTTTAATTTTAATCGGGGGCTTATGGTGACTCTAAGTTGATATGTGGAGTGATAGTTTTTTTGTTTTGTTTAGGGAGGAGTTGTTGAGTTGGGTTGTTTTTATTGAGAAGGGTTGTCACTGAGGTTGGGTATGTTTGGGTTGGTTACATAAGAACATAAGAATGGAGGAAACTGCAGCGGGCCTATTGGCCCATACTGGGCAGTCCCGTTTACACCCAACCCCTATTGCTCATATGAACATCCAACCTATGTTTGAAGCAATTTAGCGTATTCGAGTTAATGATGATATTTGGTAACTTGTTCCATTCATCCACTACTCTGTTTCCAAACCAGTGTTTACCTATTTCACGCCTAAATCTAAATTTGTCTAATTTAAAACCATTGTTATGAGTTCGCTCCTGGTTGGATAATTTGAGTACCTTTGTAATGTCCCCTTTGTTTAGCCCTGCCTTCCACTTGTACACCTCTATCAGGTCGCCCCTCGCTCTACGTCTCTCGAGGGAGTGCAAATTAAGATGCTTTAACCTGTCTCTATACTCAAGGTTCCTAATGCCCGGGATTAGTCTTGTCATTCTCCTCTGAATTCTTTCCAAGGATTCTATATCCATTCTGTAATACGGTGACCAGAACTGAACTGCGTAATCCAGGTGTGGTCTCACAAGAGCAAGATACAGTTTTAGGATGACCTCGCTAGTCTTGTAACTAACACTCCTTTGTATGAACCCAAGTACTTTATTAGCCTTGTTACGAGCAAAAACACATTGTTTACTTGGCTTAAGGTTCCTACTTATCATTACTCCTAAATCTCTCTCGCAGTCGGATTTCTCTATGGCATCGTTGTTCATCTGGTATCTGGTTTCCCTGTTTACATCTCCTATACTGAGTACTTTACATTTGTCCACATTGAATTTCATCTGCCATTTTTCAGACCATTCGAAAAATTTGTTTAGATCTTCCTGTAGTTTTGCCGAGTCCTCGTCAGATTTAATAACACGTCCTATTTTAGTGTCATCAGCAAATTTACTTATGTTGCTGTCTATGCCGATATCTATATCGTTTATGTATATAATAAACAATAATGGTCCAAGTACTGAGCCTTGGGGAACTCCACTTGTGACGTTGCTCCAATGGGACTTAGTGCCGTTAATGCTCACTCGCTGTTTCCTGTCCTGTAACCACGCCCTAATCCATTTAAGGATGTCACCTTTGATGCCATGAGCTTCTACCTTTCTAATTAGTCTTTCGTGGGGGACTCTGTCGAAGGCTTTGCTAAAGTCGAGATATACCACATCATAATTGTGCCCCTCGTCCACCGATTCGAAAACTGATGAAAAGAATGTTAATAGATTAGTTAGACAAGAACGTCCGCTTGTGAAGCCATGCTGGGAATCATTGATCAATCGGTGCTTCTCCAGGTGATTTCGAATAGAGTTTGAAATGATTGCTTCCAGTAATTTGCCTACTATTGATGTTAGACTGATTGGGCAGTAGTTAGAGGATAGTGATCTATCCCCCTTCTTGAAAATCGGTATTACATTCGCTATCCTCCAGGATTCTGGTACTACACCTGTTTTTAAGGACATGTTAAACAACTTTGCTAAGGGGCATACTAAGCTCTTCGCCCATTCCCTTTAATACTCTGGCAAATATCTCATCGGGACCAGGTGACTTATTAGGCTTTAGTTTGTCTATTTGCTTACTAACATCGTTACTAATTACTTTACTATCTCACTTAATTTGTTTCTTCACTATCTCTATGAATAAGAGTCAGTTGCCTCAGGTATCATGTTTTAAAATTTTCGGTGGTGAACTATTTGCCCAGAAAAATATTTATTCAAATTAATACTCATTTCTCCGTCGTTATCAGTAGAGCTCGCGAATTCTGACCGTATTGGTCAATCTTTCTCGTGTTTTAGTTTGATACATTTGGTAGAATCCTTTGGGGTTTGTCTTCGCCTCCCTAGCTATCCTTACCTCATTATTCCTCTTTGCTTTCCTTATCTCGGTTTTAACCCTACTCGCCAATACCCTATAATAGTCCAGGAGGTGAATTCCGCCACGATTTATCCTTCTACCTATAGCCTTCCTTTGGCCAATGATGTTCTTTAAATAATTATTTATCCATTTAGGGTCATTGTTGTCTGATCTGAGTTTTTGTATGGTATGTTCTGCCTTTGTGCATTAAGTAACTCACTATTTAAATTGTCGTGGAACTCGGCAATCTCAGATCTCGTTATCAGGTCGGTGTCATCTGTCAGGTTCCGGCCATGAGAGCACCCCCTCTCTGGCTGCCTCTTTAAACTGTCAAAGTTTGCCCTTCTGAAATCTGGGACTTTGTGGAATTTTCCTTACGTCTGCCCTGAAAATCTAACTGGAATCTAATTTCTTTGTGATCGCTGTTTGCAAGTTCGTTCCCTACCTCGACATTGCTAATGAGGTTTTCTCTGTTCGACAGAACTAAATCGAGTATATTATTACCCCGTGTGGGTTCGGTTATATGTTGACTTAGGAAACAGTCCTGGATCGTCTCGAGAAAATCCTCTGATTCTGAGTTACCCGTAAGGACAGTCCAATCTATTTGGCCAAGGTTAAAGTCGCCTACTATACAGACTTTGTTGTGTATGGAAGCCCTGCGCATTTCATCCCAGATAAGTCGCTCATTGACGCTATCAAGATTGGGGGTCTATATATTACTCCTGTGATTAATTTTTCCCGACCGTCGCTTAATTCTATCCAAATTGTTTCTGTATTCCTCTCAGTTTTTATTTCCTTATTTATTTCACACTTCAGATTATCCCTAACATAGATTGCTACTCCGCCTCCTTTCCTGGTCTGCCTATCGGTATGGAACAGTTTGTAACCCGCAATTTGGTATTCGACTGGTAATTCACGTGTGTCTAGGTTGATCCATGTTTCAGTGAATGCAATTACATCGATTTCTTCGGTACATACCAAGGCCTTAATATCATCCATTTTGTTTCTCATACTTCTACTGTTCGCGTAGTATACTTTTAAGTTAGTCGTGTTCTGAGTCCTTCCCTTACCGCGTTTAGTTTTAAACTCCCTGTCTAATTTAGTTTGTCATCATTCCAAACACTATTTCCCTGTAATCTTTCGCCTTGTTTACCCGCTCCCACTGCAGTCTCCTCCACCCCCGTGCTCCTATGTTCTCTTAGCAGTTTAAAGACTTCGATATCTTTTGAACTGCCCCCTCTAGAGCCCCAGCCAGGGTTGCTACTCCGTCCCTAGACAGGTGCACCCCATCCCTAGCATAAAGGTCCCTTCTGCCATAGAAGTTGTCCCAGTTGTCAATGAATGGGACTGATATTGACTTGCAATATCTGTCAAGACGGTCGTTAACACCAACTGCCCTTGACAACCATTCACTGCCAACTCTCCTTCTAGGCAGGACACCGCATATGATAGGGATCCCTCCCTTAGTCCTAATACGATCTATGGCTGCCTTGAACTTATCAAGAAGTTCCTCGCTCCTACACCGGCCAATATCAT